ATGAGAAATTAGATATAAAATAAACATTGTTCTTACATAAATAATCTTTTTCAAATAAATAAGTTTTTTGTGGAGATTTTCGACAAATATTACCTGTTATTTTATTTACAAATTTTATTTAAATAGATTAGTTATATAATTATTTTCAAAAAAAAAAAAAAAGATTAGTTATATAATTAAAGTAGTTATTTCAAATTCAAATTCAAACAAAAAAAAAAGTAACGATATACTTTAAAATTAACATAATAATAACATAATTAAACTTTTAAAAATATTAAATATTACATTGTATATTTATACTTACATTTTTAATGAAACTAATTATGAGTTGAAGAACTCAAGTACGTTTTTCTGTTTCCACAACCATTACTTTCTTTGCTAATTTAGAGGATGTCCAAAATTTAATTCGTAAATTTGTTAAATTCATAATAGTCCGTGCATCGCACGGGATAATTACTAGTTACTATTGAAATAAAATAATAATTTATATTTTTAGCCTAGACCTTGTGGTCAAGTAGCACTAGTTTTTTTTTTTTTTTTTTTTTTTTTTTTTTTTTTTTTTTAGCTAGAATGTCATAATTTATAATGTGTTTTGTTGTAATACTATTGTTGTGCATATAAGGACTAAATTGTTGTGATATAAATGCATAATAAGTTTCCGAGAGTTTGATTTTGTAGCTCTAACATAAGCTGAAGAAATTCAATTTCTTCGATTTACGCGTATAGGTTTAAATGCTAAAAACATTTAAAATATTCAAAACAAATGAAGAATCAAAGGTAGAAAATCAAACAACTAAATACATATATAAAAAAAGTTAGATTTAAATATAAAAATGAAGCTAAAGAAAAGAGAAGATAAGTACGTGTTTGAACTTAATTGACTCCAATGAAGTGTGAGGCCACAGTTGTGACGATTGAGAAGATCAGAGTATGGGAGAGCTATGCTTAAGAGAGAGAAAAAAGAGAAACATGAGAGAAAGGGGGAGAGAGAGAGAGAGATAAAGTTGAATATGAGAGAGAAAGGAATAATGAGCCAAGAGGAGGAAAAAGAGAGTCAAGCCGGGGGGGAGGGGGGTGGGGAAGAAAGCCAATCATGAGAGATACGTGAGAAAAATCTTTTGGTTCAAGTTATCTAATATAACCACGGGAATGTGACATTCCTAAGCTTACATTCTCATGTTTGGTTCATGTTATCTTACTTTTCAAATGGAATGTAACATTTCCAAAGGAATGCAACATACCCTCCACATAGGATTTTGAAGGGAATGTGATTCCCTTACATTTCTTAGGTTATCTAAGAGTACCATGCATGTTCAAACATTTTTCCCTTTTAATTCTAATTATTAAAAAATATATATTTATGTGGACTTATTAATTATTATATGCATCATTTTAAATTATTTTTCTAATTATATATTTTATTTTATTTTTTATTACGTCATATTAACTTATAAAATAATTTTATTTCACAAGTTATGTTAATTAATTATTGTTAAATCATGTAATTATATATGATACTATTATCTTATTTATTTAGATAAACTTCTCACCAATATGGAAAGATGGAGAAGGGGATTGACCAACGACACAACATGCAAAGCCTGCGGAAAAGCTGAAGAGTCGATGGCTCACATCTTTACGACGTGCAACGTAGCGAGGGAAGTATGGAGGCGGTCCTACCACCCGATCTCCTTCCGCAACAGCCTGATAACCAACCTGTCCACATGGCTGAAGAAGAACTGCACTGAGAAGGAATTGCTAGATGGAAGACCCTAGGGCACAACTTTCATCTATTCCTGTTGGGAGTTGTGGAAAGCGAGGAACAGGCTGATCTTTGAAAATGTCACGACACCACCTTCTGAAATCGTCAGGAGAGCGAATTCGTGGACTCAAGAGTCCATTGACGTTTTCTCCAAATTGTGTGATAAACAGGGAAGAATCAAATGGGTATCTTGGCAACCTCCGGAACCGGGTTGGACAAAACTGAACACTGATGGAGCTTCTAAATCTTCGGCTTGCCCGGGATCACACTGGGGCTTGGTTATTTGGGTTTACCACCAACATTGGGGTTTCTAATAGCTTTGCGGCAGAGATGTGGGGCTTAAGGGAGGGCCTACGGCTTGCGAAGGATAGAGGGGTTCGAAGAATCGTTCTGGAGCTGGATTCTGAAGCCGTAGTGGCCATCATGAACGACGATAGTTCAACTGGCGAGTACTCGTCATCCTTGGTGAAAGACTGTAAGCTCTTGGTTACTAGCATGGACCACGTTATCATTAGACATACTCTACGGGAGGGCAACAAATGCGTGGATCACCTGGCCAATCTGGGTCAAGATGCTCCTTGGGGGACCTCATGGCTTGAGCTCCCTCCGTTAAGCCTCCATCCTTTTCTTGCGGCCGACGCCTTTGGGGCAACCGCAGTTAGAGTTTGGTAGTTCTCGGCTCTTTTCCCTGTCTTAACGGGTCTTTTTCTACCAAAAAAAATTATCTTATTTATTTATTTTAATTTAAACGTTTATTCAAATATATGAAAATATGTTAAGGTATTACATACCTCAATTTTAACATAAAAGATAACCCCTAAACGAAACAAGTTTATATTACATACCTCAATTTTAACCAATCACATAAATCTAACATTCTCAATATTCTAACATTCCTACCAATCTAACATTTCCTATAGTAATCTAACATTCCGTGAACCAAACGATCCCTTAAATAATACTTTTCATTTCTTTCTTTTTCTTTGTCTAATAAAATCGAAAGCATACCTATGTATTGTATTTGTTAAACATGAGTTTGTTTTTTTGTGAAAAGGTTGTCCGGATTTTAAGAATTTTGAGAAGCAACAGGACATGCATTTAAAAAAGTAGGCCAGATTGAACACGACATTTTACCCGAATCGCTAATTCTTATCCGCTGCTCCCAGAATTACAAAACCCGAAAACACAAATAAGAAGACGAAGAAGAAGAAACGAAAATGGAGAAGGCGAAAGCATTCATTGAAGGAATAAGCAAGGAAGAATCTGAGCTACTGTCCTCACTCACCATTCCTCCCCATCGAGTCAGCGTCGAGTCTAGTTTCTACGAGTACTACGCCATAAGAGGCATCCGAGTTGACCGAGTCGAACCCGGCTTCGTCTCCTGCACTTTCAGAGTCCCTCATCGCCTCACCGTGAGAACAATCCTCTTCCATTTTCTTCTTTGTTTTTGATGTTTCTGAGTTGTCGATAATTGGAGAAATATTTTAATTTTAATTCAATTTTTGTAGGACAGAGAAGGGAAATTAGCATCGGGTGCGATTGCGAACCTGGTTGATGAAGTGGGAGGTGCGGTTGTACACGTGGAGGGTCTCCCCATGAATGTTTCTGTGGACATGTCAATCTCTTACCTTTCTGCTGCAAAGTTTGATGTAAGCTTCCCCTTCTCTCGTATCTTCATTCTCAACAGTTTATGAATTTCTTCTGATTTACCTTTATTTCTTCATCCTTTATCTCTATAATTATGTTATCATCTATAATTTGTTACTTTAAGCTATTTGGATTTTGGGTAAGTGTTTCACATTGATCTGAAGAACCATTCCTGATTGATTTCACACTTGAATTTTAGTCCCAGGAATTGCATCTTTTCACCCAGTGTGTATATACTCTATAGGCTACAAATTGGAAAAATGTATTTTACTTTTTCTATTAGGGTTTAGAAGCAAGGTGCTTGTCTTTCATCCTCTCCAATCTAAGTAGAATTCTCTTCAGTTTTCTCAAGCCATATCATGTTGTTGAAATGCAATGCCACTTGAAAATACTATTATCTAATTAAGATGAAAGAAAGGGATAAAATGCATTCCATCTTAGGTAAGGCTGATAATGTAGTGTTAGAATCGTTAAACCTGCAATCATCCCTGTTGCGATAGAAAAAGACGAAGGGGGAGGGGGAAGAAGAAAATAAACAGAAACAGCATTGATCCTAGGAACTAGGAAGGGAAAACTCTATGATACACTGTTCTTTCCTAGGCTTCACAATTTGAACTTAAAGCTGGCATTTGCTTATCTGTGTTTGAATTCCTCTTTTTCTTGTTTAGCTTTCCACCATGGTCTGGTTCTGTTTGATTGATTATTTGATTACTAAGTGTTCGACTACCTCTACTTAAGACATTCCTGTTTAGCTTTCCATCATGGGCTGGTTTTGAACGTAAATCGTACTTGTTGGATTACTAATTTTACGTCTACCTCTTCTTATGGCTTACTGACAGGACGAATTGGAGATCGTTGGACGATGCTTAGGTAAAAGAGGAGGGTACTCCGGAACGAGTGTGCTGGTGAGGAACAAGTTGACAGGGGAACTTATTGCTGAGGGCCGGCATTCGTTGTTTGGTAGACATGTCAGTAAGATGTGATGTGATGGCATGTTCTAATGCTTTTGTTCCCTTAAAGAATAGAGACAGGAACTCTTAATAACATGACTACTGCATTACCTTTTTCCTGTACATGCTGGTTTCATTGATGCAATCAGATTTCATCTGTAGTTCAATAGCAATATATATATATGTAGCATATTTATATTATATACAGAGTAGTATTTAAGCATTTCATTGAATTAGAGTCTGAATGTTGAGAGTAGATGAGCTTTCAAAATAGTTGAGCATTGTAATATTTACAGCTAAATTTAACTTTCAAAGGTGCAGTTGTTAAACCCTTTAAGAGAGAATATATGGGTTTATAAGACCAGTTTGTCTAACCAAGCTTTTGTTTCGGGGGAAGGAGTTAATTGATTGGATTCAATCTTTCAGTGTGGTTTAACCCAGGTGATTATAGCTCAATTGAGTGACTTTGCTCCAATCTTAGATTATAACAAATATATTTGTTTTCAAGGAGAAACAAGAACCATGATCTCACATTTTAAGCACCTAAAACCATCATCTTGATTCTTGCATTAAGCATTGCAAAATCTCTCAAGGGCATATGGTTCTAATGACACCCTTTGGAAGAGAAACAAAGATATGTGTATATGAGAACAAATCTTTTATTATAACTTTTTAGCCCAAAAAACAAATATATTTGAAATTCCAGTACAACAGTGCTAACCACAAACTTCCCAACTGTCACCATTTGAGATTACACTTGAATAAATATGGTAAAAAGAATTTTCATGCCTTGAACCCCTTATGGACAAAGGGTAAATTTTAAGGCAATGGGATGTAGTAAGTACAAACAGACCAAGCAGCTTCCCCTCTTACTTGCGCTTTCAAGCCTCGAGTTTGATGGCTGTGTCGAGAGCATCCAAAGTGTTCTGCTGAGCCCAAAGTTGCGCGTACCTTCCTTGCTTCAACAGTAGAGCCTCGTGTGATCCCTGCTCCACTACTCTTCCATTCTCCAAAACAATAATCTAGCAGTAACCAACCCAACAGCCAAATATGAAGAACGCGTTGAGAGAAAAAGAGGCTAAAGAAAATTCTCGTATAAATACCTCGTCACATTGCATTGCAGTAGTTAGCCTATGAGCGATAAAGATAGAAGTACGATTATTTGACAAAGACTTCAAAGCACCCAAGATTTCCGCTTCGGTGGTGCTATCAAGTGCACTTGTAGCTTCATCACAAAGCCTAAGGAAATACAAGAATAGTGAGAACAAGGAAATGAAAATAGAGCACCACTTCACCTTTTCATTCAGGGCTACAGTTACATTGTTGGCTTAAGCTCATATTTGGTTAGACAGGAGAGTTTGTAACCAGAGAGCGAAAGTAATTATGTAAACAAGAACAGGATTTGATAATAGAGAAAATACTTACATAATTGCCGGTGATTTGAGGAATGCACGAGCTAATGCCACCCGCTGCTTCTCACCACCACTTAACTAGAAGGAACCAATGAGGGAGAAAGAAAAGCATATCACTGAACTACTCGAAAATTGCAGCTCATATCTATTCATGAATAACCAACCATATGGAAATGATATACAATCTCAATCAATATAATTGTTAGGGAAAATTGTAATTTATGCCCCTCCATAATTATCAATGTCACCCCTGAATTATTAGTAGTGTAAATGTTGTCCCTCAATTTTCAAAACGGTACATATAGTGCCCTACTGTAGTGTATATGTTGCCCCTCATTTTTCAAAATGGTACATATTGCCCCTCCTGTATGGTACGGGAGGGGCAATATATGTACTGTTTTGAAAATTGAGGGGCAACATTTACACCACTAATAATTCAAAAGTGACATAATTGAGATATTATAGAGGGGCATAAATTACAATTTTCCCTAATTGTTATTTCCAAGGAACCACAAAACCAACAAAGGAGCGAGAGAGGCTAGGAATTATGTTAAATATCTGCACATGCTCTTCGTTATAAACTCAAGAAGATTTAAGGGGAGAGAGGCTCACCTTAAGTCCACGTTCCCCTACCACAGTTGAATATTTTTGAGGAAACTTCATGATAGTATCATGAATAGCCGCTTGTCGAGCAGCATCATATACCTAATAGCAGATGCATTTGGAGGAGAATAAGGCAAAAGCAGTACACAAGTATTGCAATGGTTGGAATAACAAGCAACAATCTATTGTCCACCAACCTCTTCTTCTGTTGCTGAAAGGCGACCATAATGAATATTGTGGAAGATAGTATCGTTAAACAAGACCTGAAATAGGGCACAAGTTTCTTTTACCGTGAATTTCACGTTTGAATAAGTATTACTGAAAAAGAGAGATCGCTGCTTTTGAATCACTCACAGTATCCTGCGGAACAACACCAATAGATTTCCGTAGACTCTCAAGCGTTACTCCCTGAATATCTTGACTATCTATCCTTATCTGCCATATAGCACATAAACCCACCAGAAATATATGAATGAAATTGAAGGGAAAGTATAATATAAACCAATGAAAAATAAAAGGGATTTGCAGTACAAAATATGTTTTCCTTATCTTACATTCCCAGAATTGGTGTCAAAGAATCTGAAGAGTAGTCTAAGAATGGTTGATTTACCTACAAATATAAAGCAATTTAGGCTTTAACACAAAGAATAACTAAAATAACAAGGAAAAATCTGAAGCATTACCACTCCCACTGGTTCCTACAATAGCAACACTTTTTCCGGCAGGTACAACAAAAGATATCCCATCAAGAATCTTTCTATCTGTTAAATAACTTTGACAAAGAAAAGGGAAAAAAAGGGGGAAATAATAAGAATGAAATTCCATGTGACTTTTCAAGTTGCAATGAGAATAAGCTGGAACAATCTTTTACCAATTTCCCCACAGGACTAAGTGAACCTGGTGAAGCATTGGCATTCAAGGGAGAATGAAATACACATTAAGGTGGGCAGGCCAATCTATTTGGTTGCCAGTCATGAACATAATCCCTCTTTAATTTTGCACACTAAATGTGCACATTTGCGAAATGCATGGAGGAGACAATTTAATCGAACTATACAGAAAAAGACTAAGCATTGTCTCACTAGTAAATGAAGAACGTTATGTTCCATGACTAAAAAACAGATTGGATGTTTTGAAATGTACCTGAAGTGAACGTTGTCAAATTCAATGGCACCACCATGTAACTTCAGAGCCTTTGCATTATCTGCGTCTCTAATTTCAGCCCTCTCCTGTGTCAATCAATAAATGCTTGTAAAGTCTACAAGTGCACAATTATATATGCAATTGTATGCATGCACACTAAAGACAAGTGCAATAGAAGTGGACAAGAATGCAGCAGCAATATTAAAGAAGCTTATAGATACCTCTAGTAACTGAAACATAGCTTTCATGTCAACCAGGCTCTGGATAGTCTCTCTGTATACACTTCCAAGGAAGTTGAGTGGAAGAGAGAGTTGGAACAAGAGCCCATTAACCATAACCTGCACTTAAGAAGTGAAATTATTTTTTTGAATGCTACTGACTCTATTACAATGTAGTATCTGTTCATAACTACTTTCTCAATCTACTGAAGCACAAAGAGCCAACAACGCCTCCACTGAGGCTCGAACTCACAACCTCCCATATGGGAGTCCAACCCGGGTGCCATTAGACCACAAGGTCTTGGCAAGAAGTGAAATTATTAGCTCAAAAGTAGGCATCATAAAAAAGTGAAGAAAGTTGACCAAGGCAACGAGTAGCGGAGAATTCACTTACCAGGTCACCAACGGTCATTACACCATTCATGATTCCATTAGAACATAACACCATAGCAGCAGAAAGAGCTGTACTAAATATTGCACTTTGCCCGAAGTTCAAAACTGCAAGACTACGCTGTGTTTTTAAAGCAGCATTTTCATATCCTGAAGATAAAAATAAAATAAAATAAAATTTAAAAATAATAATAATAAAAGTAATGATATATAATTAATACAAGTGATCCGCTTAAAACAGAGCTACAAATGCCTGCAGGAGAAATATATTTCTCCTTGTATGTTTTATGGTAGCACATTCAAGTCCACATATGCTCTGATTCTTAAATCCTAACTACTTATTACAATCTAGTTAGCTCTTGAACTTGGAGATCAACTTAATTGATGGAGAAAAATACTCTAGAAGCTCTGTTTGCCATAACCTTAATCTACCAGATCACCATAAATGCTAGATGTCATTATGTTAATGGAAAGAAATCTGTTGCCTTATGTAGAACTAAGCTAAATATAAAACATTTTCCAGTGCACTTTAGTCAGTAGTATACTTCTCAACTTACAACATAGTGAAGAGAAAGAAGTTATAAAGAGTGAATAAGCTTACTCTTCAAAAACTCATCGTATTTGTCTGCTTCATAATTCTCATTGTTGAAATACTTCACAGTCTGAGAGATAATACCAAATGTTAATTTTTGGCAAAATGTTAGCTACCATAAGTGGAAAATTTTACCAATACAAGGAAAACAAGGGACTCATGGTAAAACTCAAATTACCTCATAATTGATGAGTGAATCAATTGCCCTAGTGCTTGCATCATTATCAGCTTTATTCATCTCCTTACGAAACTTAGTTCGCCACTATAAATCAATTCAAGGACAGGTAACATTTATTAAAAATACCAGAACTCAGATCAAGAAAACTCAAGCACAATATTAGAGAACACCTCAACTGGTAAACATGTACCATCCAAGAATCCAATCCAAGAATTAGTAAAATGGAGGAAAACAGAGAGCATAGACAGTTTTCATGAACAAAAACATGTTTGAAGAAAATATAAAAAGACAACATAGAACAGACAACCAAAATCAGAAATGTATATCTGCGATATCCTCCTAAATCCTCCTCAAAACTTCTCCCAATTATGCATGGCATCATAAAAAACTGTGGTAATGGAATATCCAAGGAAGCAATGAAATAATATCCAACAAATAGTTACCTGTGTCACAGTCAATGTGAAAGCAACATATGCAGCCACTGACAGGGAAGTGATCAATGCAAATGGTGCTCCAAATTTGTATGCAAGTATACCTGATACCATAGAAATCTGAAAGGCTTCATTGTTAAAGCTGCAGAGGTAACAATCAAAATCCAAGAAACTAACTATTAACAACTATTCTCAGAAAAAAATGATTAACAATAGAAACCTGCATACCTCTAATATTGTTGGAACAACATTAAATACCATTGACGAAAGAATGAAATTAATAGCACGGCTACCACGATCTATGATCCGGTTTAGACCACCAGTTTCTCGACTAAAAAAATACAAATAAAAAAAATAAAGATAAGTAAAGCAGAGAAGAAATTAACTAAATAAACTAGCTCTAAAAGGTTCCATGATACAGGTCTTCTTTTTTTGCTCGAAACAAGTATAGAATGTAGACAATCAATTAAACAACAAATATCTCTAATACAATTAATGAATATTCCCAATTCAATTAACAAAAGGCAAATATAACACCCCGAACAATGGGGACTAATCCTTATAAAGGAGGACTAAAATATACCTCACTAGTCACTAGCATTGCTTTTAGTGAGGTTCAAACCCCCTAACCGTTTGGTCAAGGGCTCTAGCCTGAAGACCTTCGAGGCTTTGACAATTGGACAAGCCTTTAGGTTCACCATGATATAACATTTTAATAGGTGAACTTTAGTCCCTTGGAAATGTTGGAGGTAAATAATACAAACAAGTCAATATCCATCGATCAGGTATTCAAGTCTCCTTTTATTGTACAAGTGCCAGAAGTAGTATGCTAAGATGATCAGACCAGAATGATTCTTGAGGAAACATTGACCTCCTGTAGGTACATAGACTTCCAAATCTCTAGCTTATCAACATAGAACAAGTTATTCAAATATTTAAACATGTCTTAAGGAAATACCTGAGGTGGTACTGCAGGTCGAGCTCATGCAAATGTGAAAAGACCTGCAAAAGTTGAGGTCTGTTATGTGTCAGCATCCAAAACTCAAGTGCAGTAGAAACTTCATTAAAAAATAAATGAACAAACATACACAAGGTGAACATGAAATCAGATATAACTGGAATGTTAATAAAGTTTATGGCACATAAAAGTATCTTGATATTCAAATGATGGGTAAAAAACATTATGGTAATGTCCTAATGCAGACCCCTTACATGTTTATGCATTTGTATTCTTTATGTAATTGAAACTTGTTAACTTTTCCCTCAAATTTTGGAAGAAAATCTGTACTGGACTAAAAGCTTAGCAGATGTTACAACCCCCAAACCAGTGTAACTATGCAATAGGAAAATTAAGGGAGAGAAAGGGGACTATTTGCCCTATACCTTTCTAGAAACTGATCGGATTGTTCTAAGCGCCACCTTAGAAAACACAGCTGTTCGCAATTCTGAACCATTTTTAAAATGCAAGAAGAAAAACAATTAACAACAGAAAGGCATTCTGAGCATGCAGAAGAATAGAAGGAACCAAAGACTCAAGACTTTGGTAGTAATAATACAATAATAAAAATCTGGGTAGAGAAAGGAAAACAAATGAGATGCACTAACAATTACATAGCTAAGTACCATTGAAAGCAGATGCACATGACCGGGCTATCCCATATCCTATCAAAACTGCAGCTGGAGACACAAAAAGAGCTAAAGCAGTTGCATTAGCAGAAGTAAACTGAGCCAGTGTGCTAGCATTGCCAGTTGCTGTTGTTAACCAATCAACAGCAAGCTTAAACAGAAAAGGAACTTGAACATTCAGTACCTGTGAAGGAAAAGAAGACACATTTACCAGACACCAATTCAATCAAAGTATTCAAACAATTCTATGGCCCATCTAAAAGAAGAATACCTTGGCCCCAACTAATAGACCTAAAGCGGCCACCACTCTCAACCGGAACTCCAGATTATCCTTCATCCACAGGTATTTTGCGAGAGTGCCTATAATTCTTGTGTCGTTTATTTGATTGCCCGAGCCTTCTTTGACAATTTTCCCAGACTGCTCTTGCTTAACAGGTGGCTTTTTGCCCAATGCACCACCATCTGTAGAAAACATTGCAAACCCATTGGGCAAACGAACCTTCATCACGCCAATTCCCAGTAAAAACAAAAAAAAAAAAAAATTTAAAAATTCAGCACTTTGGAATTTCAAACAATGTATACATATAAAACACATACATAAACTTATACACGCAATCAAGCACAGCACAAAGCGAGAGAGGGAGAGAGAGAGAGAGAGAGAGAGAATTACAGGGTCTTGGGGGTTTTTGGGTGGGAAATCAGAAAGAAAGGCATTGACTTGTCCCAAGGAAGAGGGGCAAGCGGTTCTTGTAGACCCCCAGAGGCTTCGTCTGGTGGAAAGCCGTCTGGAGAAAACGGCATATCGATTAATGTGAGCAATTCGAAGAGAGCTGGCGCAGTTGGGCGACTGCAGATGCACCGAGCGGGATGGAACGTAATTCAAAATCAAGGACTCTGCTTTGGGGAAGAAGAGCTCGCTAGCCCTAAAACACCTGGAAGCCATCGAATTTCTCAAGAAACTGGAAACCCAGTCGATGAATTAGGCAAACAACTCCTCCAGTCCCGAGCTAGAATATAATAGAATCTCTATCTGCGCCGGCGGTTACGACAGGCGGCCGTACATACACAGACAAATCCTCCTTTGCGTCAACTTGTAGTTGTGTTCCTTCACGACTTCACCAAGACACAAAGTAACTCCTCCGTAATAGAAATAAGAAATTCCACGCTACAAATATTCCTCCTTTTTGTGGTAATCAGAAATTCGAAAATAATAATAATAATACTCCCGTAATTAAAAAAAATAAAAAAATAGATTGTAAGATCCAACACGAAATTACATAATTTGATGCAACATTTTTTTGGACAATGAGGAAAACTTTTAACCACCATTTGAGATAAGATATATATTGGATAAATCTTACTCATGTATAAAAGCTCACAAACCACACCCCCAGAGGTTAATAACACTAGGAAGATTTTGTGTGACGGTCTCGACCAATAGGGTGTTGGCAGTATACAATATTTGATGGCAAAAACTTATGTGATACTATCTCACGGATCTTTGTCCGCGAGACGAGTCGAGTCAAGATCAAATGTAATACTTGTAACGAAAATAATCCTGCGGAAAGATTATTTCTAGAAAATACAAGCACAAGCAACGAAAGATTAATGGTTTAGTTCAAGTCAAGCGAAACACTCTTTCCTTAAAACCTATAATTGCTACCTCCCAAAGGTGCTAGGAGCGTTGTAGCCTAGGTTTTCTAAGATAAAACAAACTACGACTCAATGTTTGAGCAGTCAAACAAGTGAGCCAGGCGAATATGAACACGGTTAGAACACAGAGATTTGAGGAAGAAGATGAGTAGGGTTTCGAGGAGTAAAAAGCTGTGGGTTTTTCAGCGTATTATCGTTGTAGTAACATCACCTGCGACATTCAAACTTTATATAGGAGAAGGGATTAAATAGCATTTAACATGGCATTTATACTCATAATAAAATCAGTTAATATAACCTTCATAACACACAAACATTTATCTGGAACTTAATTCTAAAATTTAAAATTAAAATTAAAATTAATTCTAAAATTACAAGTGTGACGCATATTTGATATATATAGTATTCAATTCAATCTTGAAACGTTATGGTTACCAAGCTAACAACATAACTGTTAGGATCAAGCGCTTACCGCTCACGCCAAAAGCTATAGCTAGTAGCGAAGGCACAACTTATTTTCTTACTTATAGACCGTCATCACATTGTTTGAGACAGATTGGGTGTTGGACTTGACCGTTGGAGGTTTTACCAACCTCTGCCCAATAATTCCCCAGCTACTGGGTACTAGACATATCCCCTTTATCGGCCTTGCCCAACAATAACCAACTTGCATGGTTGTCATATTGTTAGTTTATTTTATATGCTAGTTATAATGCGCGCATTGCACGATTAAATAAATGTCAACCACGAAAACTAAAATAAGTAAATACTTAGTATAATTTTTAAATATTAAAATTTTTTTTTGAAAGCTACTGGTTCTATTACATTGTAGTATCTGTTCATATACTTTCTCAACCTACTGAAACACAAAGAACCAATAACGCCTCCACTGAGGCTCGAACTCACAACCTTCCAAATGGAAGTCCAACCCAGATACCATTATTTAAATATTAAATAATTAATACAAAATAAAAATGATTATTTTCAATAGAACCAAAATGAGTATTTTCAACTTGTAATAAACGTAGTAGTAAAGGTGAGTATTATTATTGTAGATAGGTATAATTATGAATAAAAATGATATCCTAACAATATTCATATTAAAATTAACAAAGTATATATTTAATTTCTTAACTCAATAGGGTAGCTCAAGTGACAAATGAGCTCTCTTTGTGGGGGAGAATTTTGGGATAACCCGGGTTTGATTCCCATAAGCAGGTTCCCTTTTACGGGTTACGTTCTACGTACCACAGTCCGTATCTTTCTTGCACGGTCCCCCTTTTCTCTTACAATAGCGTCATCAATGGCTGGGTTCCCTAATGCGGTTGGCATTTAATGTGTTTATACATTGAAAAGTATTTTGTACTGCCTAAATGCTATGTTATTGGGTTGGAGTGTGCATTTCAGAATCACGTTGTGTGCGGTTTATGAATGGTGCATTTTGTCTAGGTTTTTTGTGCGTTTTAAGGTTCACGGTGTGTGCTTATCTGTGTGGTAGTGTAATCAGGGTATTCCATTCATGTTTGTGCATAGGGGGATAGTGGGGTATGCATTATGTGTTCGTTGGGGTATGATGCACTTGATTGTGAGTGTTATGTGGTGTACTTTTGAGTGAACTATGGTGTACCACAAAGTGCTGGTATGTGGTGCACTAATGGGAAATGTGCGATGGAATTTAGATAATTTCCTGCACCATGTTATTTCGGTGGTGCACTAAGTGTTTGGGTATGGTGCACAAATGATTACTCTGTGGTGCACTTTTGAATATACTATGTTGTACCACAAACTGTTGGTCTATGGTGCATTAATGGGAATGCGTTGGCATTTTGGTAATATCCTACCCCATTTATATTTCGGTGGTGTACTTAGCGCTAGGGTGTGGTGCAATTATGAGTGATCTATGGTGTACCTATGAGTGTCCTGTGGTGCACTAAGAGTGGATGCATCATCGAGCAATGTAAATGCACAAGGCCACACGACCGTTTGGGAAGAGTTGATTGCATATGAACCAGACTATATATATATATATATATATATATATATATATATATATATATATATATAAAGCCTTAGAGATAAAACATTGCCTCACCACCTATGAGAAAATGTCTGGTCAGGCAATGAACTTTCATAAGTCCAACATCTCTTTCAATCACAACACTCTGACTAGAGATATGGAAATGGTGGCTAATTTGCTTAATGTGGTTCAGGCCCTTGATTTTGATAAACACTGGTGCAAAAAAGAACATATGAGACTGAATTTTAGCTACCCTATTCAGAATGTGAACAACAATTAGAAGTGCTTCACCCAAAAAGGAAGTAGGCAAATTTGTAAGAGCTGGCATAGACCTAACCATATCAAGTAAGGTCCTATTGCGCCTCTCTGTAACTCCATTCTGTTGAGGCGTAAGAGGCAAAGATAACATATGGATAATCCCATTTTCTTGGCAAAAATCACCAAACAAATTAGATTGGTATTCACCCTCTCGATTTGAATGAAAATTTTTAATATGCTTGCTAATTATATTCCCTACTCCCGCTTTAAAAGTTTTAAAAATTTCTAAAGCTTCACTTTTCTTATGCAAGAGGTATATCTTCCCGAATCTAGAAAAGTCGTCAATGAAAAGGGTGTTAACACTCATGGCTGGGGCCACACATCAGAATGTACAATACCAAGAGTTGTATCACTTTTTTGGGCAATTGAGGGGAAAGGAAGCCTTGTCATTTTTCCATATATACAACTCTCACAAGTAGGTAATTCAAGTAAAACAACATCACTAAGCAAGCTAAGCCATTTTAACAAGTTTACAAATTCAGTTCTTATCAAGATGAAGATGCCATAAAAACATATGATTTGAATAAACAAATGAAGAACTAGCAATATCACAAACAATATTACCATATAAAAGAACTTGATACATATCAGAATTGTGGAAACCCCTTGAAATTATTTCATCATCCTTGTACATCACAAACTTTCCACTACCAAAATAAAACATAAACCCAAGTTTCTCCAAACATGAGACAGGCAAAAGATTTCTTCTCATGCAATGTGAGGCAATCAAAGAAATTATTATTATGTAACTTCAAGTGATATGTCCCTACTCCTACTTGGGCTCTATCATCATTTCCCACATAGATAAAACTCTTCCCACTCTCAATCTTCCTTATTTCGATTCCTTGGACCCTTGTAAATCATTAGAAACATGGACATTAGCACTTGAGACACGACAAATTATATCGTGCATCGCGATGTATAATCAATTATGTACCGCGCATCAAAACGACGTCGTTTTGTTTAATGAAAAGAAACGGCATCAGTTTCCCGCTGTTCCGCACCCTTCCGCAAAAAGTACCTCTATTATTAGGTTTTATTTTGTATACACTGCAGTTTCAGTTCAACACAACTACAGTTTCATTTCGATATAATTACAGTTTCATTCGATATTTATAGAATCAAATATGTGAAAATGTTATTTAATTTTATTTTATATGTTGGAAAAATAGCATTAAAAAGACATTTTAAGTGGCTATTTTGTGGTACAATTATTAGTAGGGTCCACTTCCGATTTGGGTCGGGTCAAAGTGGATTCGGATTCTTCGTAGTGAGACGAAGAGATTGATATATTGTACGCTCAAAACGAATAATGGGTGAATGAGATATATTGATTCTCAAAGTAGACCCATTTGAGTTGGAAAATGAAGGAAAAAAGTGAGATTTTGTCCCACATTGGTTTGGAAAGAAGATTTGACCCCCCTTTCCAAAGGTTATACATATATATACAGATAGGAAAGGCTTGATTCAAGCCCGATCTCGTGTGCGCGGGCACGAATGTCGTCCGAAAATTGGCTGGCCTTGCGAGCTAAGTTATGCCATACTTCGTCAATGAAAGGGGTGTTAACACTCTCGTTCGCCGGGTTCGTTCGTTTGGGTGCTCAAACGTCGAACCGTTGTACGTTTTATCCTAGGAAACCTAGCAAAGAAAGGCACCTCGCCTAACTCGTACTAATCTTTCTTCCTCCCATTCTTTCTTGTTTTTGGATTATGCTCTAAGCAAAAATCCTTGCTTCTTTCTTGTTGGATCAGAATTATAATCAAGAGGATTATAAGTTCCATTTTTGGTTAATATATATTGGTATATCTTTTTCAAAGATATATATGTATATATAACCTTTGGATCCGTTATATATATATATATATATATATATATATAATATATATATATATATATATATATATATATATATATATATATATATATTTCGGATACATATATATATATATATATATCCAATAATATTTTATATATTTCGTGTGTATATATATAAATATTATTTCAGGGATATTAAATCGATTTTGGTTCATTATCACCAACATTATATACACTATAGTTTTATTTTTTTATTACAAAGGAAGGGAGATACTCATACAATCTACGCCTACACTATAGTTTTATTAAAACACAACTACATGATTATTTTTGATATAATTACAGCTTCATTGTACAATATACACTCAAATATGTGAAATGTTATTCAGTTTATTTTATATATACTGCAGTTTCATTTCACCACAACTACAGTATCGTTTTGATATAACTGCAGTTTCATTTGATAATATAAAAATAATACGTGAGGCAGTGTCGATTTAAATATACTGTGGTGTCAGTTCGTAATTAACATACAAAAAAATGTGTGCTCTGTTAACACTAACGGCACACCGTTTCTTTACTTAAAGAAACGACGCCGTTTTAACCGCGATCCATGATATAACGACCCTCCTCACCAACTAAAAGGTTCAATGTATTGCGAACAAGACTCAAGAAGTAATAACTCACATGGATTCACAATTTTCTAATTCCGCTCCCGTTTCAAAAATTTGCAATCTCTCTTGAAGAGATTTAGCTATACCACAAAGCACATATGACTGAGATATATCATTAGTCACTTCCAAGAATTATAAACACTTAATTCTTGTTCATATTGGCCTTCACAGCAAGATCATCAGTTACTCCCTTAGGCATTTTAGGAGGTTTATCAACACAAATAATGTCTTTATAACCATAAAATGATAGCAACATATCAACCTTTTGTTTCCAATCTACAAAATTAGTGTCTTCTAAAACTTCAGATTTCAAGATATCAACAAAGGCAAAACCACCACTTCGTACAAGCAAAGAAATCCCTAACATCACCAGTATAGATATCTATGAATATATCATATAGACCAAACACCAAGTAATAACATACAACCTTCTATAATATCCACTTACCTCATGGGGAGTCATGAACATTATTAAACATGCAATTGGAGTTGCACTATACTCAATTCCTAAACTCTGGGAAGCCAACCACTTTATACCGAAAGTTATAGTCCATGTAGACAACTTGTGCTTTTGGAGATGCACGAGGAAAGCGCAACAACTCTTTTGAAATTTTGAGAGCCGCGGAAGGATTGAGATCATCTGATCCTTGAATAACAACTTTCTCTAAGGCAGGGCATTTAGAGAGTAACATTTTCACAAAATACATTTGCACTTTGGATCCCCTAAATGATTCAATCTTTAGTGTGTGGAGCATCTTTAGATCTTGATCAATAATATAACCGTGATCCTCCGGAAGTCTTGTGTCATCAAATAAATATGTCTACAACTCAAACAAGAAATGAAAAGCAAGTACACTAAGGAAATGAAGAAAATATATACTCCATAATATTGATTTCGTACCGAATATGATGCTATAATCTCCAGTTCACATAGGTTGGGGGAATTTTTAAGCAATTGCAAAGCGACAGTGAACTGCTTTTCTCTAGCAAAATTCAAACTATATAGCTTGATTACTTGTAGATTTATTGCAGTTGGGAACATCAGTGGGGCTAATACAAAATCTTCAAGCTTAAAAAAAATAAATAAAAAACAAATCAGCCTTGGGACAAAACCTTTACAAGAAAAATAAAGAATGTGAAAGTAGAGATTCTTACCAACAAGAAGTGACCCAAGCAAAGAGTCTTAATTGCTTTCAAATGAAATGCAAACCATCTCAATTCGGCCGCTCCTATACAACTAGTAATAGACAAGCTTTCAAGTTTTGGAACTCTAATCTTAAAATTACTAATCCCAAAACAAAAACAATCAAATTCCAGCTTCTCAAGATTAGGAATTTTGTAGACAATTCCATTAAGTTCATCACTAAATTTAACACCCTCGAAAACTAATGAGGTGAGACCGGAGAATATAGAACAGGCCTTTATTGGCAAATAAAAAACGAAATAGCCCAATTTTAATTTCTTAATTGTCGGGCACGTGAGTATACAATATGGCAACTTATATTTATATTCATGGCGGCCCCAATCAGCTAGGAAGATTTTAAGTTCCTGAATACCATTTCTTGATAGAAATAGAAACCATCGATCGAAATCAGACTGTTGCAGCTGAAGACTTGATAAGTAAATGCATAGAGTAAATTTCTTAACAGGTCCAGCTTGACGCAAGAGAATGACATTTATCATGTTCACAAAAGCTATGGTTTTATCACCTTGGCGTCTTTGGACACACTGTAACAAGTCTGAATCAACCACAATCCGCCCCAGCCCCAACCAAACATCCCTCCACCCAGTCGAGAGTATAGCAGTTCTTGCAGCGTCTCGAGTGGGTAACCTCTCCAAAATTCTTTCCTTAATCTCTGCTGGCAGTTCACTTATTACATCCCTACTTGAGTTGCACTTTGTAGCCATTTGAGATAGAAGGTGAAAGTTTAGAATTTAACCTTCTAGTGGGCGATGAGAGAGGGAGATCAGAGAAAGGGGCGAGCAGAGGAGGGAGAAGGAGAGGGCGAGAGGCTATGCAATTGACGGAATAGAGAGACACGAGCTAATTATTTCAATTATTTGGAGAGATCAAGATTATTACGGAGTACTTTTAGGATAGTTATTTAATGAGATGTGATTTCTACTTAAAATATAATTATAATTAATAAAGAATACTTAATTATTATGGTATCTCCATCCTTTCTCCCCTAAAATTCGTAATCTGTCACCATATAATCAACTTCTTTATTTTCTATAATTTCCATTACACATCTTCATCTTTTTTAGTATTGTAATTATACTAAAACTCTGTATTTGATGTATATATTAAAGAATACTTAATTATTATTCACAAAAAACATTTGCACTTTATATCCCATAAATCATTCAATCTTCCGTGTGTGAAGCATCTTTAGATCTTGATCAATAATACAACCGTAATCCTCTGAAAGTCGTATGCCATCCAGATAAATATGTCTACAACTCAAATAAGAAATGAAAAGCAAGTACATGCATAGGGAAATTAAGAAAATATATACTCCATATGATCAATTTCTTACCAAGTATGTGTGGTAATTGTATGCATGGTATTAAAAATAATAATTACGTATGGTATTATGTATAGTAATATTAGGTATGATATTATGTAATACGTAGTATTAATTAGGTTGTACATTTATTCTTTTCATATTCTCATATGGACGTAAATCCATAATATGGTATATAACCAATAACCAATATGGTATATATATATATATATATATATATATATATATATATATTCACTCCTTATTATAAAATATAAAATAATAATTCAATTAAAGTTTTATATAAGTAAATAATCTGTAATATTTATCTTAAGTATAATTTGTCAAATTAATCAATTTTAATTTGATAATGATTATTTTCTAACCAAACAATTGATAATATTTACGATTTATTGAACCAATTCATATATGTTTTTTATCATCCAGACTAATTATAATGGTCAAATTAATAATAAATTTTATTAGTTATTAATTAGCATAATATTAATTTATTATGCATAATTACTGTATAAAAATAAATTACCGTTCAAATGAGTACATAAGATGATATACATGTTCATTGCACGAAATCTTAATATTAATTGAGTTGTCAAATCGTATATTGCATAAGAATTATTCTTACCTTACTATATAAAATTACAAATTTATTCCGAAATTCTGAAAATTAAATAAGTTAGAAATCTAATTTTAAGTATGTATTTCCTGTTTTTTCATTTTTAATTTATACAACTAATTTATTAATTTATATACACAATTTTTTGCTGCTTTTAATAAAATAATTCACTACATTTTTTTCAGTAAGTAATTCCTCTTAAGCAAATAATCCGTAATATTCCCGGATATACTTTACACAATTTAATCATTTTTTATTTTATAATTTCTAATTTATTAAATTATATATATATATATATATATATATATATATATATATATATATATATATATATATATATATATATATAATTTAATATAGATATAATTAGATAAAGCTTATTTTGTGACCAAACAATTGATAATATTTATGATTTATTGAACCAATTCGTAAATGAGACAATCTATACTATAATTAAAAACAAAATCCTATTTACTTGATTTCCCACCCAAACAATAGTAAATAGTAAAGGTAAATTTTAAAAAAAGAATGGAAAAAAAGAACATAAATATTTCACAATAATATTCTACATCATCCGTTAAAAATGGAATGGAAATTAGGTAAATTGAAAAAATAACTTAATATTAATAATTGACTGAAAATTTAAAATGAAAAAAGGAACATAAATTAGGTTAATTGAAAAAGGAATAAATATTTATAATTGACTAAAAATAAAAAATGATCCATAATTGACTAAAATGGAAAAGGGAAATGGTCAAATTATTACATTTTAATTTTTTACAATAATATTACACAATATAGTACATCAAACCATAATTATGTCATAAATCTTTCACAATTTTAAAAATGGAACAGAAATATTTCAATAATAATATTTTACATCATCAAGTAAACGTAAATTAAAAATGAAAAGGAAATACTTAAATAACAATATTCTACATCATCAATAATAAAGGCATATTCTAATCAATAATAAAGTTAAATTAAAAATGCAATGAAAATTAAAAATGAAACGGAAATATTTTAATAATAATATTCTACATCATCAATTAAAAATGGAACGAAAATTGGGTAAAATATCACTACATCTGATATTCTAATTGACCAATTGACTGAAAATAAAAAAGAATAATTGGCTGAAAATGAATATGATATTATTAATTAACTGAAAATATAAAATGAAATGAATATTAATAGTTGACTGCAAATAAAAAAATGATCTATAATTAACTAATATGAAAAAAATAAATGGTTAGATCATTGCATTTTAATTAAAAATTGATGGAAATTAAAATTTGACGGAAATATTTCAACAATAATATTCTACGTCATAGATAATAAAGGCATATTTTAAACAATAATAAAGTTAAATTAAAAATGCAACGGAAATATTTCAATAATTATATTATACATAATCAGTTAAAACTCGAACGAAAATTAGGTAAAAATATCATTGCATATGATATTCTAATTGACTAATTGATTAAAAATAAAAAAGAATAATTGGCTGAAAATGAATATGATATTACAAACTAACTTAAAATATAAAAAAAATCCCTAATTGACTAATATTCTACCATTATATATTTTGACTCGAGTCACCCATCATGATGGGCTGAAGGTGTTAGCTATAGACGATGATGGACAAGATTGTGTTGCTACTACCAATGTCGAAAGATGTTTCAATAATTTGTACATACAATCGTTGATATTTTTTTAAAATGACAAATTTGCTATATATCTAGACAAAAAATATATATCTTCCATACAAATGAATTAAGATAGTAATTCATTCCTATAACTGAGTTGCTTGAGAATGAGCACATTTGACTAATTTATAAAAAAAAAAAATACTAAACAATGATAAATAAAATTTCCAAAATTACAGCACCGCATGCGTACATCTACACATTAGCTATTAATTTGAGCAATCATTTGCTCAAATTTAAGCAATGATAACATCAAAACACATAGATAATCCAAACCATATGTTCAATTGCACTATATAATATTTGATGTTCTAATTTAAATAATTATATATTGATCCAAATATTCTTAATATATTACCACAAATTCATTCTGTGCATCGAACGGGTGAAAATACTATTATTCTAATAATTTTTCTTTCCTTCTTTCGTGTAATTACTATGCTAATGTATTTAAATATTGAAAGAGAATTCTATAAAAAGGATCCTTAACTCACTAAAATTCTATATTATTCTTAAAAACAAAACCCCCATTTCTTACTTACCCGCCCAAATAATAAAAAAAATTACCAATTAATAATACTAATAATAATTAGTAAAAAAGTTAGTAGTAAAATAGAAAAAAAGATCCTTAATTCACAAAAAATAGAAAAGGAAACGGGATTCACTAATTAATTAAAACTAACAATAATCAGTAAAAAAAGATGATTAATTCACTAAAAATGAAAATATAAACGGAATTTACTGATTATGACTAATAATAATTGGTAAAATAGGAAAATAAAAAATGAGTCTTAATTCAATGAAAATGGAAAAAAGAAACGTAAGGGTGTGAAAAAAAAGGGGCCATAATAAGGATAACAGTAAAAAAAGAAAATTCTACCAAAAATAAGAATAATAAAAAAAGTTTCTTAATTCACGAGAAATAGAAAAGGAAATGGAATTCACTAATTAATTAATAGTAATAATAATCAGTCAGAAAATTAGCAGTAAAATATAAAGAAAAAAAAAGATCCTTACTTCACTAAAAATGGAAAAATAAACGAAATTTACCGACTAATACTAATAATAATCAGTAAAATTGAAAATAAAAAAGGATTCTTAATTCAATGAAAATGAAAGAATTTTTTTTTTTAAAAAGGGGTCATAATAAAAATAACAGTAAAAGCAATCCTACAAAAAAAAAATTGAAAAAAAAAAGATTCATAATTTACGAAAAATAGAAAATGAAATGAAATTCACTGAATAATTAATACTAATAATAATCAGTAAAATTAAAAGTTAACATTAAAATAGAAAAATATAAAAGGATCCTTAATTCACTAAAAATAGAAAAAGAAACGAAAGTCACTGATTAATACTAATAATAATAAGTTAAATAGGAAAATATAAAAAGATTCTGAATCTATACCATTATTAAAAAGAAAATCCTTCTTCCTTACTTTCACACCCAAACAATAGAAAAAGAAAAAAAATTTATAATATAATTAAAAACAAAATTCTATTTACTTGATTTATCGCCCAAACAATAGTAAATAGTAAAGGTAAATTAAAAAAAAAAAAAGGATGAAAAAAAAAGAACAAAAATATTTCACAATAATATTCTATATTATCAATTAAAAATGGAATGAAAATTAGGTAAATAAATAAGTACTATATTATCAATTAAAAATGGAATGAAAATTAGGTAAATAAATAAGTATCTGTTCATTTAAAAAAAAAAAAAATAAGTATCTGTTCAAACATATTTTCTCAACCAACACATTCACTAAGGCTCAATCTCATGACTTCCCACATAAGAGAGGTCACTACATGCCATCTGAGCACAAGGTGCTTGGCAACAAACATTAGGTTAATTGAAAAAGGAAATGAATATTAACAATTGTTTGAAAATAAGAAAAAATTCATAATTGACTAAAATAGAAAAAAAAATGGTCAGATCATTGCATTTTAATTTTTCACAATAATATTACACAGTATAATACATCAAATCACAAGTATGTCATAAATTTTACACAATTTTAAACAATAGAATGGAAATATTTCAATAATAATATTCTA